ATTATAATATTTTTTAAAATTATAAAAAATGTATGATTAAATAATTATTATTAAAATATTTTAAAATTATAAAAGAAATTCAAATTATAATATTTTTTAAAATTATAAAAAATGTATGATTAAATAATTATTATTAAAATATTTTAAAATTATAAAAGAAATTCAAATTTAAATAAATAAAGTTAATAACTGAACTTGCAAATAAATTCAAACTTACTCAAATATTTATAAATTTAAACACAAATTTAATTTTTTTTAAAGCATGATAAGTTTTGAGGAAAAGGAGAAATTTATAAATTTATAGGTAATTAGTGAGAGTAAAAATTCAAATTATTAAAATTTATATTTTAAAATTTAATAATAAACTATTGGACTAATTTATAACTTCAATTTATTCTAACCAATTAATCCAAACCACTTAAAATTTGGAGACGAACCACTTGAATCCGAAAGTTCGGTTCGTAACTTCAATTATTTTAAACTTTATAAATACTTAAATTTAAAATTTTAATGTAAGATCAAGCAATGAACAATTAAAGGGTCTTTTTAATTTATGTCTTTAGGGTACAAATTAAAAAAGTAATTGATATATTTTTTATTATTAAATTATATAAAAAATAAAATTTAACTTTAATTTTAATAATTAATCAATTAAATTAAGATATTTAACATTAATATTAAAATTAATATCATTTTTTTACATATATTAATAATTAAACTATATATTAATTATACTTTTAATTTATATCTAAAAATACAAATTAAAAAATTCATAATTAAATACTCGACTCGTTATCATCTTACACAAAACATAGGCCTTTATCCTTTCCCAATGGATGAGCATGTTATACCTATGATTTTGATGATTACAAAATGGATAATGAGGTGTGCACACCTGGATCCCACACCCGGGTGTGCACACTCCATATAACCAAAAATAACCTAAAGGTTTTAAAAGTGTAATTACAAATTTACCCTTTCCACTTTCTTCTTTTTTTTTTTTTCCGAGCAAAACCCGATCTTCCCTTCTTCCTTTTTTATTTTTTCATTTTTTCTCCCGAGCAGAACCCAATCTGCTCATGCTGGGTTACCAGCAGCAGAACCCAGCTCGGGTTCTGCTGCTACTGGGTTCTGCACCAGCAGCAGAACCCAACTCGGGTTCTTCTGCAGCTTGCAGAACCCGAGCTGCAGAACCCAGCAACCCAGCAGCCAGGGAGAAAAAATGAAAAAAAAAAAA